TTTTTTGTGAAGCTTGTGTTGTGTTCTTGAGCGTTCTTAGTTTACTCATTATCCACTCTAAAAGAGAGTATTGTTCTTGAGTGTTTTAGTGTTCTTAAACACTTGACAAGAGAAGGTATTTCTCTTGTTGTTCGAAGGAAGGGCTGTTTCCTTCGAAGGTTCGTTGAGGTTCGTGTGACTCGAATTCTCAAGTTGTACGGGTTTGTTAAACACCGTTAAGCTTAACGAGGTAGTAGTGTAGCTCGAGAGAGTCTCTCGGGAGGCTGGATTAGCCACAAGTTGTGGTGAACCAGGGTAAAATCAGTGTGCCTCTTACTCTTTTCTTTACTTCTCATTTATTCATTTTTTATTCCTGCGATTTTTGATCAAACGCTATTCACCCCCTCCTCTAGCGTTAGTCTCTTATTCTAACATATGGTGACCACGAAACCACAGACAATGTGCGTCCGATTCCCCATAGACAGGCTGTAGAGGAATCGGGCCACAAAGACAGCCACATTCGCCTCCTGGCGTGTGTGCAAGCTCCAAAAGACCATCATGTCATCGGGGTATACCTGATCCGTTTTCAACGGCCTCCCAAAGAAGGACGTCGAAAGCACAAAAGATAGGATTCACCAAGTTGGCTGAATCCAAAACCCGGCCCGACCCATGCCCTCAAAGCGGTCTAGGTCGGAAGAATGCTCCGCCCAAAAGTCAGCAGGATCAACGTCCGCAGGGAGAAGGTATGGTGCGGCATCAAACTATGGCGCCAACGTCTCCTCCCGAGAGTAGAGACCCAAGTGAGTGGCTAGCTCGGCGATCGTCAGCTGAAATCCCTGCCCCAGGAGAGTGAAGGTGAGGGTGGTATGAGAGTCGATGGACTGGAAGTTCATCGACCGTGACCCCGTAGACGGCTCCAGCTCAAGAGAGCACAGAAGCTCGATCGTCAGTAGCAGGCTGGACTCAACTCGCATCGTGAAGAGGCGATGCCACCTCGTCCCTCGTAGCAGCTGCTCCATCTCCTCAGCATATCCGTAATCGGTGAGAACTACCGAGGACAGGTACACAGGAAGCAGCAAACTGATTAGCATCCCTAAAAAGCGTTGGCCAGAAGAATCCTGAGTCCAACACTTTCCTTGTTGTCCTTGCTTCTGAGAAGTGTCCGCCAACTGGGCCACTATGGCAGGCTGCCAAAATTTCTTTTCCTTCTGCTTCAGTCATGCATCGCCGAACTACTTGGTCCGCACAAATCCTGAAAAGGTAGGGGTCGTCCCAAAAGTAGAAGTGAGCTTCTCGCTTAAGCTTCTTGCTTAGGTGCGGTGCCAGCAAGGTAGGCTCGATCTTCCCTGCCAAATAATTGGAAATATCCGCATACCAAGGTTCCTTTTCTTGTATAGCGTAGATCCTCTCAAAGGGAAAGGACTCGTTCACTATACAATTGCCAAATTGCTCGGCTACTTCCACAGCTAGACGAGATAGATGATCTGCAGCTTGATTGGCCGAACCTTTTCTATGCTTGATCTGTAAATCAAATTCCTGAAACAATAAAACCCATCGTAATAACCAAGGCTTTGCATCATTCTTTTGCAACAGGTACCGCAACGCCGCATGGTCGGTGTAAACGACAACTGGAGAAAGAATGATGTAAGGCCTGTATTTTTCCAAAGCGTATACAATTGCTAGGAATTCCTTCTCAATAGTTGTGTAGTTGAGTTGTACTCCCGAAAGGGTTTTACTAGCATAGTAAATTGGGTGAAAAACCTTTTCCTTCCTTTGTCCAAGGATTGCTCCTACTACTAAATCGCTAGCGTCGCACATGAGTTCAAACGGTAGTGCCCAATCTAGGGCGATAAGAACTAGGGCTGAGATTAGTTTTTCTTTCAAGGTATTGAATGCTTGTAAACATTCATCCGTAAAAACAAACTCTATACCCTTCTCTAGTAGGGCAGTTAGGGGTTTTGCTATTTTAGCAAACTCCTTGATAAACCTTCTATAAAATCCTGCGTGCCCTAAAAAACTTCGGATGGCTTTTATGGAATTTGGCGGTGGAAGCTTCTTGATAGTCTCGATTTTAGCGCGGTCCACTTCTACCCCACGACTCGATACCTTGTGACCTAAGAATATTCCTTCTTTTACTAAGAACTGGAATTTCTCCCAACTAAGAGCTAGGTGAGTTTCCTCGCATCTTATGAGAACTTTTTCTAGATTACCTAGGCATTCGTCAAATGACCTCCCTGTGATAGAGAAATCATCCATAAAGACTTCCATAAAATCCCCTATAAACTTTTCAAAAATAGCTATTATACACCTCATAAAGGTGGCAGGGGCATTACAGAGTCCAAATGACATCCGACGAAATGCAAAGGTTCCAAAGGGGCAAGTGAAAGTGGTCTTGTCCTGGTCTTCGAGATTTACATGGATTTGGAAATAACCACTCATCCCATCCAGGAAGAAATAGTACGCATGGCCAGCTAATTTCTCAATAAGTTTGTCAATGAAAGGAAGGGGGAAATGATCCTTGCGTGTGGCATCATTCAACTTTCTATAGTCTATGACCATTCGCCATCCAGTCACCGTTCTTCCTGGAACTAATTCTCCCTTCTCATTTTTGGTTACTGTCATTCCACCCTTTTTTGGAACAACATGGATTGGTGACACCCATTAGCTATCTGAAATGGGATAAATTATTCCAGCATCCAAGAGTCTAAGCACTTCTTTCTGCACTACCTCCATTAATTTTGGATTTAACCTGCGTTAAGCCTGCACAACTGGTTCAAATCCGTCCTCAATGGCTATTTTATGTGTGCAATAAGCGGGGCTTAGTCCTTGAATATCCTCTAGTTTCCAAGCAATTGCTTTCTTGTGCATACGGAGGACAGCTAGTAATGTTTCCTTCTGATCAGGTGTTAGATCGGAGGCTATGACAACAGGGCACTGGCCCTCACTATCGAGGAAGGCATACTCAAGGTGTAATGGTAAGGGTTTAAGTTCTCAAGATTTTGCTTTGTTTGTGGGTTCAGATTGCGTCTTGATAACACACACCTCCTCACACTTAGGTTCTTGAAAAGCAATTTCTAGGCTTAGAAGATCTTCTACAGACCCTTTATCTTTTATGACTTTGACTGAGTTGCAGAACTTAGCTGGGTCTGGAGTTCGATTCATGACGCTACTCATCTTAAAAGTGACATCTTCATTGCCTACTCTTAGAGTTAATTCTCCGTCGTGCACATTAATTAATGCCTTTGCGGTCGCAAGGAATGGTCGCTCTAGTAATAGCGGCTTTTCCTTATCTTCTTCCATATCCAATACCACAAAATCAGCAGGAAAGATGAACTTATTTACCTTCACAAGTACGTCTTCAATCACCCCCCTAGGGTAACGAATAAAGCTATCTGCTAATTGAAGACACATCTGAGTAGGTTTGAGTCCAGTCAATCCCAACGCTTTCATGATAGAGGACGGCATTAAATTGATGCTAGCTCCTAGGTCAGCTAGAGCGTCTCCAAAGGTTCTATCGTTAATGGAGCAAGGGATGATGAAACATCCAGGATCCTTTCGTTTTCTAGGCATTTCTTCAAGTAACATAGCAGAGCATTCAGCACTTAAGCTGACAACTAGGAATTCCTCCCAATCCATCTTCTTAGTTACGAGGTCCTTTAAGAATTTACCGTATTTGGGCATCTCAGTTAACACATCTACCAAAGGCATTTTGACCTCAACTTGGCCAATGACGTCGAGAAACTTTTGGAAAGCTTTCTCGTCCTTGCTCTTTTTAACCCTAGTAGGAAGGGAATAGTGTTTAGCTGAGTTTTTCTGGCTAGTTGGGGTTGGCTGGAGGGGGTTTCTTCCCTCCTCGTCTCTTGGGGTGTGGATTCAGACTTCTTTTGAGAGGTTGTTCCTATAGAAGTATCCACAGGGACTTCTTCTATATCGGCTTTGACTTCCGGGACTTGAAGCCCTTTACCACTTCTCAAAGTTATGGCCCGAAGTTGCTCCCTTGGGTTTGGTTCAGTGGTAGCTGGGAGGTTCCCCTGTTCTCTAACTCCGAGTTGTTTGAACACTTGTTGGAGTTGGTTATCACGCGTCTTGTCGCATTCCTTCAAATCATCTGCTAGATTGTTCATCTTCTGCATGTACTCCATCATCATCTTCTCCATTCTTGCCAAGGAATCTTCTTGGGGAGGTTGGCGATTATGAGGTGGAACGTAGGGTGCATTGTTATTTTGGTAATTGGTTTTGTTGTTATTCCAATTACCTTGTTTATAGTCATCCCTAGGACGATTGTTTCTAGAAAAGTTGTTTTATAATGCCCCAAAACATACCCTAATATTTATTGAATTAAATATTCAATTAAATAAATTTTTTTTGATTAAAAATAAATTGTTTTTGGGCCTTGAGCCAAAATAAAATATGTTTTGAAATCCAATATCATAATCCGGATAAATCTCATAGAGATAAATCCAATATGTTGACTTACTGTGTGACCTTGATTGTGAACCTGAGTACAGACCCAAATCAAGGATAAATTAAGAAATTTATTTATGATATGAACTTTGAAATGACTTATTGAAATAAATCATGAGAATAAATAATATAAATGAAATGTAAGAACCTTTTTGAGTAAAGGTCAATTAAATCAATTTTGACTCTGTCAAAGTCAACCACCCAAAAATATGATGTCGGAAAAAGTATTACAAATAAATATAAAAATTATATCGTTGGATAGAGTTTAAATGTATGATAAAAACGGTGCAAACGGATTTCAATTCGGAGAAAGTTGGACCAAAAAGTGTTCCCCGACTGGGAACAAATTAGTCCCAATCAGGGACTTGTGTTTGGAATCGTGGATATCGCAGCCCACTCCTCTAGCCGCTCTAACAGGGAAGGTGACGCAGTGAATTTCATCTTCTTCCTCCAAACTCTCCTATATAAGAGGAACACTTTTCCCCCATTTCTTCACCATTTTCCTTCAAATAAACTCTGAGAGAAAGCTGTGAGTGTGGAGAACGAAGTTGTGCTATCAGTTTGGTGTGAAGTCGCCGGAGAAGGCTACAATCCTCGCCGGAAGTTTCGCCGGAAAATTCTCAAAACCTTCGATAAGCTTCGAGGTAAGCCCGTAGATATATCTAGTGATTAGAATGTTCATATAGATCGTTTCTACGTTCATAAACGGTCATTTGGTTGAGTTTTGTGTTTGACATGCTTGAAGAACCAAGAATCATAAACCATGAAATTGATGTTAAAACTATGAATTAATGATCCTAAAATGATCTATGAACCTTGGAGAACATCTCTATATAGTTTCCTTGAAGTTCGATAACTAAAAATGGTATTTCTGAAATTGGACCTGAATGAAGATGATGATGAACAGTGGCTGAAATACCACTGTCTGGATCGATTCAGGGGCTTGGATCGATCCCCTGGGAGTAGTTTTTCATGGTATGGATCGATCCAAAGGGCTGGATCGATCCCCCGAATTTCTGATCCAAAAATTTGTTTGAAAATGTTATTTTTGAGCTCTAAAATCCTATTTTTGATACCAATTGATTATGATCATTATAAAAATGATTTTTCACATTAAAAGAAATATTTTTAACAAAAAAAATATTATGTGATGCATGACGGTAAGTTAGGGTGTTAACACCCGAAGCTAGGCCGCTAATTGTTATTGATTATTATGTTGATTGATGATTATGGTAATGATTATTGATTGATAATTATGATGATTAAATCTTAATAAATATTCTGATTAAAAATGATAATTGTGAATGATTAAATCATAATGAATATATTGATGATTGTGAAAATAATATGTATTGTCAAGGACATCTAAAAGACCTCTAAGATATACCCATATTAATGTTGATTTGAAAGGTATCTAGAAGAACTCTAAGATATACCCATATTAATGTTGATTTGAAAGGTACCTAGAAGAACTCTAAGATATACCCATATTAATGTTGATTTGAAAGGTATCTAGAAGAACTCTAAGATATATCTATATAAGTTAGGCCTTGCGGGTATGAACCCCGGTGGCTAGGGATAAAACGTACGTACGGGATCCAAGAACCAAACTTTAGTACCTACTCGTTTGGGGGTACCACCCACCCAACAATGAACACTACGCTGTCGGTTTTTGGTTGGCCTTAAGTGAAGGTAAGTTTAAGATTTTCAAAACCTTTTTATCTTAAACTAGGCCTAGCTTAAGGATTATTTAGGAATATTTTATACTGGAATATAGTTTAATTATCTAAACTAGAATCCGTGTAAGGGTTGACAAATATTAAAGTGATTAGCCTTAGACTAAGAATAGTTTAAGGATATTGTTGAATGTTGAATATTGAATATGAATAAATATTGAATAGTGAATATTGAATTGAATATTGCAATTATTATAAATGACTGATGAACATTGAATGTGAATATAAATGTTGAATAATGAATAATTTTTTAATAATTATTGATTATCTGAACTGAATATTATGTGCATGATATCAAATGATTTGATTATGAATTTAGATTCAGTTTATATGGATGTTCGATGCATTAGATATGCTTACTCAGCTTCAAAGCTGAGCGTGTAGTATGTTTTATTTGCTACACGCAGGTTATTAGAAAGAATGATGTGACGTGATCCTAGAGGCGGACGGAGGCGAGACTGTCGGAATGGATGTGATGTTTTGAATTAAAGAACATAAATAAATTATGTTTGTAATTATGATTTGTTAAGCTTCCGCAATATTTAAAACTCCGTACTGTTTATGATATGAAAATATTATTGTGATAAATAAAAGTGTTTGAAAAGTTTTAAATTATACGATTACCAAGTTAATACTTTAGTCCGAAAGGGGCTGCAGACCTGGACGGATTAGGGTGTTACATTTTGGTATCAGAGCAAATGGTTTTAAACACGATTTTCGGATCACTGTTTGATTTAAAAATATATATTATATATTTTGGGTAAGAAAAATATTGTCAATCACGTCCACGACTCTCGCGTCCTTCTACTCCAGGAAAAAGGTATGAGAATTTACTTGGTAAATAATGACTCTATTAGAATTCTCATTAAATAACAATTGATTAGTACTGAAACCGTATCGAGCATAGACTCTAGTTGAACTTTGGTATTCGGTGAAGAGACAAAAGAATAAACGAAATATTTATAATCTCCTGATACGATATCAACATACCCTTCACATCGCAAATGACGAAACTGATCTGCATCGCAAAATTGTACAAAAGTGAGACGATTATGAAGAAATGATAAATGTTGAGAAACATCTGTGAAGCCGATGTCAAAAGATCCTCATGTGGACTCAAGACGATCTAATCGCTGATTCAAACACGAACGTTTAGAATCAATAAACTCTATTATCTAAAGTATCCGATACTATTGTTTGACTCACTAGGACACATTATGCGCTTACTTAATGTGAATCGAAATCGTTTGTTAAGCAACAGTTCTTTGTAAAACATCGTTGAATTACCATACAAGGAAATCGACATTATCCTTAGTATGCATTAACTAACTAAACGTCGTTGCTGTTGTCAACTTGTGATGAAGAATTCCTCAATTAAAGACCAATGATGGTAACCTTATAGAGGTGAAAGCAAAGCTGATTTCTAAACCGACCAAGTTCATCTCGAATATATATGCGAAAATATCTCAAGTGTGAAGTCTATTCGTGCGATGCCCAAAAAGGAAAGAAGCCTTTGACTGGAACTTGTAGTGTCCCACCCTCGAAAAGAAGAAAACCTTTGTTAACTCAACACAAATTGAAAGTGTGGAAACATCCAAAGTGTAACACTTGTAGAAGACATCACCCAGGAGAATGTTGGATGACACGGATTATGTATAGGTTGTAGTAAATCTGGGCATTTTCGAAAGGAATGTCCTACAAACCCTTGGAAAACCAATGCCGATGGCCCTGTTCAAAGAAAGTCTACCTTAGCCCAGCTTGCACCAGCAGGAAATAATCCACAAACAAAATCATGCACGTGCGTATGCAGTGAAAGACCGCGTTGAAGAAAACTTTGGCGTCATCATTAATATATTTCCTTATTCGATAATTTATATCCATGTACTGATCCGGGATTTGCACTATCTAATATCTATGTAATTCCATGTTGAATAAACCTCCGTTGAGATTGAAAACTCAAGGATTCCTTAATAAAGAATCATTTGATCAAGTGTTTTTCAATACCTATTTTGTTCATACGCGAATACACAAGGATCAGACTCTGTATCAACTATCGTTAATTAAACAAATCCTTATCCTTTACTTCGTATCATGACTTATTTGATCATCTTAGAGGATCCATTGTGTTCTCTAAGATTGACTTACGGTCAGAATACTATCAATTCCTATTAAGAAAGTTGAACAAATTGACGATCATGAATCGCTACCCTTTACTACGAACTGACAACTTGTTCGGTCAAGTTCAAAGATCCTGCTTGACAGCTCAACCTTGTTGATCGAATTGGCGCCTTGTTATGAAGCAACTAATGACCCAATTGCTTATCATTAGAAACATTAGTGAAATAAAGTAATGCTGACAAGACAAATAATTAAGAAAATTTACTCGTTCGTATATGTTGTTGAAAGATCGCGACCGTGGTGACGATACAAAACTTGACGTGAAACAGTGACACCAACAATGAAAGACTAAAGAATGAAGAAAATGTAGCTGCACTGACCATACAGCTTAGAATAATATTTATGACTATCTCGTAATGTTCAAAGGCGATATTATTTCAACACAAAATACAACATGGATTACATGAGGAAAGTTACAAATGCAATTCTAAGTCTAATCTCTCAGGATTCACAAACTCATCGTAACTAACCCCTGGTCCCGGGGAATGTACTCGCTAATATTATAGTCTGCTGACGATAGGACGTATTGAGACTCTTGAACAGTTGGATTCGTTGTCCTGAAACACATTTAAATCCGAGATGAAAAGTCAAAACGGCTATTTCCCTAAGACAATGACTCCTTGAGTAGCTTCCAAAGAGTGAAACATTGAGGGATGAAAACCTACGATTAGTAACGATAATTCACAAACGTTATCTTTGTATCTTCTGATTCATACCCTTGAAATACTCAAACTTATTATGTTGATCACACTCTTGAAACATCCCACTTGACCAATCTTGAAAAGATTGAATTCCATTACTGGTATCAAGATATTGAACCATGAAAAATTTGTCTTAACTCACAATTTAATCCCCAAGGTGCTTT